TTTCGCTTGCAAATGATTCAGTGGAAAATAAAATCCCAGCGAATATACCCTTTTTCTATATTTTACATTCAACTCGTCAACAATCAATGAAAATAAATTCCATACAAAATACCCAAAAAATCTTTTCAGCGAAAATTAATTCCAGCTAAAATAAAGTATTTTACAGTAGAGGTTTTTGACCGTAATGCAGACTCGAGGTCAGGAAGCGCGGTCTTCGAATACGGCGCATGTTGAACTCCCTCGGAGACACCCAACTTAGGACTCAGACTCGTAATAGGTTATACTTGTCTGAGTTTAGGATGGTCGTTTCGTTTTGGCATTGTAATTTTTATTACATTGAACCTGTGAATTGTTTGTAGTCATTGAGCACATCTTCATTGTTTGTGTCGCCGTGACAACCTTCCAAAACAAGTGGCTCATTAACACACAAACATTCAAACAATTGTCTAAGGTGTGTTGTGTATATTTTGATTTCGTGAATCAAATTACGAAAATGTGTGAGATGTCAAAAATAGGTTTTCCCGAGAATTTTAGCATAACGGTAAATCTATCATGATGGGCAAGGGGATTATAAAAACTTATTCTCCAGCATACAAGTATCGTGTTTTGAAACTTGAAATTAGCACCAAACTGTCATTCATGGCACTTCTGTGTTTGTCCGAGTGGTTACCATCACTGTCTTGTTATCTCCGAACATCTGTAATTGTTCAAATTGTAAAATATCAGTTATTCATTCCTGTTTGTCTTGGGAATGTTATCAGGCATTATGAACTATTGATTATTTCGCTGTTACATTACGTGTCGTAATGGCGCTTCACTAAACTAAAAGTATTCTATACGGAGAGCTGATCATAGAGCACATCCGTCCAATCATGGATGTACTGATACATCCATGGTCCAATATAAGACTGCCACGTATTAAACTCATGTCTGCCAGGACATACTGGGTCTTCATTGTCAGACTGTCTTAGAGTATTTCTGAACCACGTTCCCTCAAAGGTGTTCCGTATTTAAGCGTAGTCGCGGGCTGTCCCAAATACAGAGAGACGTCAAGACACAAAACTTTGTGAGAACCGATTACAAACAAGAAAAGGCGAAACACGTTCTCTCATAGGTGGTCCGTATCTAAGCGAAGTCGCGCGCTGTCCCAAATACAGAGAGACGTCAAGACACAAAACGTTGTCAGGACCAAATACAAACAAGAAAAGGCGATGTTTTTTTTGTTGGGGGGGGGGGGGGGCGAGGTCGACACCCTCGTTTTTTTGGCATCATGAATATTCATATGACATGTATTATTTATCAAATTTCGTCAATTTTTGAATATTATACATACCTCATAAAATTTCTCTAGGTCAAAATGTAATAATAGTTTTAATAGAATTATTACAGAATTACAGCCGTAAAGTTTGATCAAGTTTCGTCAAATTTTGTCTAATCTACTTACCTCATGAATATTCTTGATACCGAAACTATAGAATAAATTGAATATATTCAATGATTTTTTCAGGGGTAAAAAAGAAACTTACTGGCGTCAAGTTTGTTCAAATTTTGTTGACCTTGACTAATCGCGTGCCACATGAATATGCATGAGGCTGAATCTATCGAATAAATGGGATATATACACCTATGATTATTTCTAAGTTTCGTCACATTTTGAGTAAATATACTTTCGTCATGAATATTCAACTATCCAACAAATCAGATATAACCAAAACACCAAAGATGGGTGCCAATACTGATTAAGTTTCATCAAACTTTGAGTGCTATACGTGACCAATCAGTCTTAATTATTCCCTAATATAATAAGGTTTCAATAAAATGATTAAAGCGGGAGGGTGGTCACCTGCGACGCGCGGAAATTGAGTCCCAAGCGACAATAACAGCACCTGCTAAAAACGCAAAGACTGTGCCATGCATTTCTTTGGGCTCTGTGCGCGCTGCGTGGAACGCCTGTCGAGCCGGTGAAAATTCAAGAAAACAACAGAAACTCAACTTTGAATTTATCCTGAACATCAGAATTCATATATGTTACACAAGTGGGGCTAATCTTGTTACACTGTTCAGGGGAGTCTCAACAACCATCCCAAAGTACCGTTTTCTGCGAATTGTTGGCCTTTGTTTTCACCGCGATGGTTGCCAGGCGGTGAAAATGCCCGGATGTCCGCCCCGAGGATATGTGCTTAATTTAGTAGTAGTTAATTTATAACAATGTTTATTTTTGATTAGGTCGATTCAGAGTAACACAATGGCATTCTTCGACGTAATATCTATGGTCACATTGTTCTCATTAGGTGAGTTGTTCTAAAAAGTCATATAATTATTTAATTTGTTGTGTTTCACTGTCTCCATGAGAGATTGTCTCCCAGAATGCATTGCACATATGCGCACTAACATGCTCAGTAGTGTGTATTATTATGTATATAGAGCTTTTGTCAGGTATAAGTGCAAAAACAATTTACAGAAATAAATGTTCATTCAAGTACCTGTGGTAAAATTTGAAGTCGGCTTTTACTTGAAAAAAAGATTATACTAATAATAATACTGTAAATGTATTAATTATTCACTGTGTTTTAATTTCGCTGATAAGTAAAATTCGCTTGATTAAATTCACGTGAGCATAAAAAACAACAACAACAGAACTCATTGTTTCTCAGCAAAATTCGTAAAGCCACGTGAAAAGACTCGGAAATCAAAATATTAAATGTCAGTGAAAATAAATGGTTTTACAGTAGCAGAGAGCAGCCCATCGTCTAAGCAACAACGTTCCGTTTACGAAAAGATGGAATAATTTCAGTAATTTCTTGACAGAATAATCCTCAACAAAACTTAGAAACATTTCATAGACAAAATAGACAGGCTCCAAAATTATGTCTATTGCAAAACAATTCAACCGACAACCAGTTTGACGCCACAATTTCTAGCTTGAGCCCGAATTCTACGCGTGATTTTATTGCGTTCAAAACTGTTCCATTTCAGACTGCGCATGCACACAATGTGGTTTCTCGAAATGCATACATAGGCAACTTGTCACTGATAAAAGTCACCGAAAACATTTTGAGCAACTTTTCAGTACTTTGCCTCTACTTTGCCGTACTTTTCAGTACTTTGCCACTACTTTGCCACTACTTTGCCGTACTTTGCCACTACTTTGCCGTACTTTGCCACTACTTTTCAGTACTTTGTTACTACTTTGCCGTACTTTGCCACTACTTTGCAGTACTTTGCCACTACTTTGCCGTACTTTGCCACTACTTTTCAGTACTTTGCCACTACTTTTCAGTACTTTGCCACTACTTTTCAGTACTTTGCCACTTCTTTGCCGTACTTTGCCGCTACTTTGCCGTACTTTGCCACTACTTTGAAGTACTTTGCCACACTTTGCCATTACTTTGCAGTACTTTGCCACTACTTTGAAGTACTTTGCCACACTTTGCAACTACTTTGCTGTACTTTGCTACTATGTTGCCGTACTTTGATACTATTTTGCAATACTTTGCCGTACTTTGCCACTACTTTGCCGTACTTTGCCACTACTTTTCAGTACTTTGCCACTAATTTACAGTACTTTGCCACTACTTTGCAGTACATTGCCACAACTTTGCCGTACTTTGCCACTACTTTGCCGTACTTTGCCACTACCTTGCCGTACTTTGCCACTACTCTTCAGTACTTTGCCACTACTTTGCCGTACTTTGCCACTACTTTGCCGTACTTTGCCTCTACTTTGCCGTACTTTTCAGTTCTTTGCCACTACTTGGCAGTACTTTGCCACTACTTTGCCGTACTTTGCCGCTAGAGTGAAATATAAATGTGCTTCTGCATTCGCCATGAATTTCATAACTTGCTATGATCATGGTAAAGAGAAAACCTGTGCTTACTTTCAACAGTTAGCTGGAGTCTGATCGAAAACGTGTCTCAAAAAATACTTTTACATCATTTTCCCGATTATTTTTTCGGCTCGTAACGAATCAGTCAATTTAGAATTAACATGTATGTGCTATCGGAAAGCATTTTGGCACAATTTTACTGAAAAGACGAGTTTTTCATTGCACATGAATATTAATTAATGCAAATGAGACGATTATTTCAACCAATCGTGTCATGCAACTTCCCCCCGGGATACACGAGGTTGCGTGTGTGTGCTACTTGTATGTTTGTGTGTGTGGGGGGGGCAATTTTTTTTTGACCGAAGCGGCCTCAACGTCGATCTACTTGAGTCCAGTTTTCAACTGGCCGAGGAGCACTCCCACCCAAAGACAATGTACCGGTGGGGATGTCAGTGCGTTGACAATCGGATAAACCTGCAATTAACTTGGCTATTCCTCTTTTACAGGATGTCTGATTCATGGTACTAGTGGCGATTTTGAATGTATAAAATGTGAATACGACGAGTCTTGGGCTAGTATTTTTTCAGACTACGACTGTGTCACTAACCCGGGGTCCATGGAGACGGCCACTTGTTCTACAACGTGCTATACGTGGGCATACTACAGTGAAGACCTGTGTAAGTAGGATAATCAGCGTGGTTTTCTCCTCGTTCCGCCGTAGGTGGCGCACTGCACTCACAGTTACTTTCAAATTTAACTTTGAATTCCTTGACCGTCAAAGCCATCAATTGCAATATTTGGATCAAGAATTATAGGTATCGAACAATTCCATCTATTGGCTACAACATTACCTCTCTCCACATACAGAAAACGTGCAAAATTTGACACCAAGCTGGTGACAGAAAAATTATTAAATTATTGAGTTTAAAGCGGGGGAATCGTCACCTGCGCGTGCGTCAGATGGTTATAGAGTGTCATTGTTTACGATCAAGCCTCTACCCATGAGCCTTTGTGCGTTTTTAGCATGCGTTGTTATCGTCGCTTGGGCTCAATTCCCGCGCATGTGCAGGTGACGACCCTTCCGCGTTAATATGTTTCCAATAAAGAGTGTTTATTCCCCAAAATATGCTGTTCAATTAGTATTATTATCACGCCAACGTAAATTCCTTAACCCTGCCAGTGTTATGGTTGGCAAGTCCTTCTGTTTTCGTCCAACTTTATTTTCATTGTTTGTTTTTTATATACGTTAGTTGGTCAGTATGATTTGAAGGTGGAACGAGGCTGTGCGTCTTTGGAACAGAACAGCACGTGGTCTGCTAACCAATGTGACGAGTACGATGACGTAGATTCCTCGGAGAGCGCCTATGTATGTACATGTGATTACGAGGACAGCTGTAATGCCGATGACTCGGGTAAGTGGAAATAAAATTGGGTATGGCAAATGAATATCAAACAAAGTGCTCACAGATTTACCATTCATTTAAAAACAACCTTCAAGGTATGTGGCTCATATATTCGGGCACAGTGGCGCCCTACGGTAATGCACCGAGAGTTGTTGAGTAAAGAAAAAAAACCCTTTGACACAGTGACGTCAGTATGTAATGTTTTCATCCTACGCGCGCGTTCTACAAAACTTGTTACCACGAGATCTCGAGATCTCGCGTTATTATTTTGAAATCTCGTGACGAATCTGGCAAATAGTATGTCATTTCAATCGTTCCTCCTGTATTCTAGATTATCACCAGTGCTACTACTGTGAAACGAAAGTCAACGACTACACATGTAAAAACGACTTAGTAAATAACCACGAGCCAATAGCGTGCCTCACTGGACATTCTGGATGTGGTACTAGAACTGTAGCCTACAACACATGTGAGTATCATCAACTTTTTGTTACTAATTCCCCACGCCAACCACCTGTCGCATTGAGATTTGTTCTTCTCTCTCTCTCTCTCTCCAACACTTTGTTCAATGTAGGGGTTCAATGTCGCAGCTCGTGTTCGAATTTCACGTCAACAATTTACTGTACTGTGGGTCCATAGCTTTTCTTGTGTCGATTTTTAGTCTTTGTGATGGTATTACAATCATTTCTGATACATTTGGTATCATTAAATTTGCTATTTTCAGACCTTATGATTTTAATTGACACAGTGGAGCTATGGCTCCTCCCATAGACTTGAGTAACACAAACGTGTGACGCCAAATGACGTCGCAAATAAAAGTCGATACAGGTACACCATTTTCATATAGCACGCAACAGAAACGGAGTGGAAATAGTGTCATTGTGATAAAATCCACATCAGTAACCTCAACAAATTTCGTCATAAAACAACTCTTGTCTTAACTTTTTTTCATAATAGGGCTGTTCACCGATGATGCCGAAAGATACTGTACTGACGAAGAAACTACCGACGCCGATGGTGATTGCACGACCGATAATTCGGGATTTGAGACCTGTCTCTACTACTGTTCCGGAAATGCATGCAATGACATTGAAAACATCGCCAGTAGATCCACTATCCCAACCACATTGATATTTACCTAGATTATAGCATCCCTTGTACCCTGGTGAAACCACTGCTAACCTGAGCGATAAGCGAGTAACCTTAGTCGCTCTCAACACACAGTAGCATAGAAAAGTCGCCTGGTTATTTCCCCCGATTATTTTGTACTTGTTAATTAGTTCGACTTGTATACAGTCTCTTTTTTAATTCTTGGTGATTTTTTTTCATTTAAATAAAATATTATGGGAGCGTATAAACGGCGAAAGCCGGGTTACCGCCGCGAAAGCCTGCTTACCGAGAAATAAACAAAATAACCATAAACATCATGAATGTATATTTCGCAGTAACCCGGCGTTCGACATTTATATACTCTCATTAACATACAAATCATTATTTTATACTTTCGCACTTTTGTGGATTTGGCAATGGATTTCTCCCTGAGACTTGATACATTCTTTTTTTTTATTCATAGTCAGGTTTTTCATGCTCAAACCAAAACGAATGTTGCAATGAAGATAATGTCTGTAACTGTTCCAATAAAGTTGTATTGTATGCTTACGTGAAATTCTAACAGGGCTGCGCAGCGACCACCGCCCTTTAAAGTTGACGGGTCGAATTAACTTCGAAATGTATAGTCCTGTTACCAGTGTATCGTCGAAACAGTCTAAAATATTGAGGCTCCCATAATTACGGTTACTAACCAATCACGTAGCCTATCATAGTCACGTGAGGTACGCCTTATACCCATTGGTGGAATTTGTTGTGGACTATTCTATTCATACCAAGGGGTGTAAACCATAAATGAATTAATAACTGAAATTAATAACAGACTTCTCGGTGGTAGACAATTTGCTATGCTTATTTCAACCGCACATCATTGATTTAGTTAGTTCTGTTAGTATATCTAATAAATTGCAAGGTCTCAAAAGTATCTACATATCCATGCCCCCATCAAAACTAAAAAAAAGCTCATACAAGTACGATATGCCTTGGCCGTTCTCAGTCCGTGCTGGGTGGCCTGTGAAAGATACATCTCCCCTAGATTTCCAACATAAGGTAAGATCATGTAGTAACTGTATAAGCCTGTAATACTATTGCAGTAGTAAAGTAACGACCGTTGTCAAGGTTGGTAATTTGTCGACTGAAAGATAATGTTCGGGTGTGGTGAAAAACAAGTAATATCATCGTAACATGACGATCATGTGTTAACTATGACTTGGGTCTTGTATGGAAATTTACAAATGAACGATCAGTCAAATACTATGTTACTGATATTGCACTACTTATACATGTATTCACCTCGAATTTTGTTCAGAGAGATCACACCCTTCTCTCTATTGAGAGACTACGCTCATACCATTGTGGAGGAAGTTTGACGCCGAACCTCCTGAGTATAATCTGTACGTGTAGCAACATGTGTTGGGGCCTTGTGGTGTTACGTGAAATACCAATAATCTGTATTTGAGTACTGTAAAATACTTTATTTTCGCTTGCAAATGATTCAGTGAAAATAAAATCCAGCGAATATACCTTTTTTTCCTATATTTTACATTCAACTCGTCAACAATCAATGAAAATAAATTCCATACAAAATACCCAAAAAAATCTTTTCAGCGAAAATTAATTCCAGCTAAAATAAAGTATTTTACAGTAGAGGATTTTGACCGTAATGCAGACTCGTGGTCAGGAAGCGCGGTCTTCGAATACGGCGCATGTTGAACTCCCTCGGAGACACCCAACTTAGGACTCAGACTCGTAATAGGTTATACTTGTCTGAGTTTAGGATGGTCGTTTCGTTTTGGCATTGTAATTTTTATTACATTGAACCTGTGAATTGTTTGTAGTCATTGAGCACATCTTCATTGTTTGTGTCGCCGTGACAACCTTCCAAAACAAGTGGCTCATTAACACACAAACATTCAAACAATTGCCTAAGGTGTGTTGTGTATATTTTGATTTCGTGAATCAAATTACGAAAATGTGTGAGATGTCAAAAATAGGTTTTCCCGAGAAATTTAGCATAACGGTAAATCTATCATGATGGGCAAGGGGATTATAAAAACTTATTCTCCAGCATACTAGTATCGTGTTTTGAAACTTGAAATTAGCACCAAACTGTCATTCATGGCACTTCTGTGTTTGTCGGAGTGGTTACCATCACTGTCTTGTTATCTCCGAACATCTGTAATTGTTCAAATTGTAAAATATCAGTTATTCATTCCTGTTTGTCTTGGGAATGTTATCAGGCATTATGAACTATCGATTATTTCGCTGTTACATTACTTATCGTAATGGCGCTTCACTAAACTAAAAGTATTCTATACGGAGAGCTGATCATAGAGCACATCCGTCCAATCATGGATGTACTGATACATCCATGGTCCTATATAAGACTGCCACGTATTAAACTCATGTCTGCCAGGACATACTGGGTCTTCATTGTCAGACTGTCTTAGAGTATTTCTGAACCACGTTTCCCCAAAGGTGTTCCGTATATAAGCGTAGTCGCGCGCTGTCCCAAATACAGAGAGACGTCAAGACACAAAACTTTGTGAGAACCAATTACAAACAAGAAAAGGCGAACCACGTTCTCTCATAGGTGGTCCGTATCTAAGCGAAGTCGCGTGCTGTCCCAAATACAGAGAGACGTCAAGACACAAAACGTTGTCAGGACCAAATACAAACAAGAAAAGGCGATGTTTTTTTTGTTGGGGGGGGGGGCGGGGTCGACACCCTCGTTTTTTTGGCATCATGAATATTCATATGACATGTATTATTTATCAAATTTCGTCAATTTTTGAATATTATACATACCTCATAAAAATTCTCTAGGTCAAAATGTAATAATAGTTTTAATAGAATTATTACAGAATTACAGCCGTAAAGTTTGATCAAGTTTCGTCAAATTTTGTCTAATCTACTTACCTCATGAATATTCTTGATACCGAAACTATAGAATAAATTGAATATATTCAATGATTTTTTCAGGGGTAAAAAAGAAACTTACTGGCGTCAAGTTTGTTCAAATTTTGTTGACCTTGACTAATCGCATGCCACATGAATATGCATGAGGCTGAATCTATCGAATAAATCGGATATATACACCTATGATTTTTCTAAGTTTCGTCACATTTTGAGTAAATATACTTTCGTCATGAATATTCAACTATCCAACAAATCAGATATAACCAAAACACCAAAGATGGGTGCCAATACTGATTAAGTTTCATCAAACTTTGAGTGCTATACGTGACCAATCAGTCTTAATTATTCCCTAATATAATAAGGTTTCAATAAAATGATTAAAGCGGGAGGGTGGTCACCTGCGACGCGCGGAAATTGAGTCCCAAGCGACAATAACAGCACCTGCTAAAAACGCAAAGACTGTGCCATGCATTTCTTTGGGCTCTGTGCGCGCTGCGTGGAACGCCTGTCGAGCCGGTGAAAATTCGAGAAAACAACAGAAACTCAACTTTGAATTTATCCTGAACATCAGAATTCATATATGTTACACAAGTAGGGCTAATCTTGTTACACTGTTCAGGGGAGTCTCAACAACCATCCCAAAGTACTGTTTTCTGCGAGTTTTTGGCCTTTGTTTTCACCGCGATGGTTGCCAGGCGGTGAAAATGCCCGGATGTCCGCCCCGAGGATATGTGCTTAATTTAGTAGTAGTTAATTTACAACAATGTTTATTTTTGATTAGGTCGATTCAGAGTAACACAATGGCATTCTTCGACGTAATATCTATGGTCACATTGTTCTCATTAGGTGAGTTGTTCTAAAAAGTCATATAATTATTTAATTTGTTGTGTTTCACTGTCTCCATGGGAGATTGTCTCCCAGAATGCATTGCACATATGCGCACTAACATGCTCAGTAGTGTGTATTATTATGTATATAGAGCTTTTGTCAGGTATAAGTGCAAAAGCAATTTGAAGTCGGCTTTTACTTGAAAAAAAGATTATACTAATAATAATACTGTAAATGTATTAATTATTCACTGTGTTTTAATTTCGCTGATAAGTAAAATTCGCTTGATTAAATTCACGTGAGCATAAAAAACAACAACAACAGAACTCATTGTTTCTCAGCAAAATTCGTAAAGCCACGTGAAAAGACTCGGAAATCAAAATATTAAATGTCAGTGAAAATAAATGGTTTTACAGTAGCAGAGAGCAGCCTATGTATGAGTGCGTCATCTGAGCCATGACAGAATCTGCTCAGTGAGTGCATATTAAAGTACGCCCTCTTTTGCAATTCGTCCTTTATAAAGGATTCACCGGCGGGGGGGGGGGGGGGTGGCGGCACGAGAGGGCGCCATCCGATCTGAATGGAATGTATCGACGTCAGTCGCCGTAGCCCATCGTCTAAGCAACAACGTCCCGTTTACGAAAAGATGAAATAATTTCAGTAATTTCTTGACAGAATAATCCTCAACAACACTTAGAAACATTTCATAGACAAAATAGACAGGCTCCAAAATTATGTCTATTGCAAAACAATTCAACCGACAACCAGTTTGACGCCACAATTTCTAGCTTGAGCCCGAATTCTACGCGTGATTTTATTGCGTTCAAAACTGTTCCATTTCAGACTGCGCATGCACACAATGTGGTTTCTCGAAATGCATACATAGGCAACTTGTCACTGATAAAAGTTACCGAAAACATTTTGAGCAACTTTTCAGTACTTTGCCTCTACTTTGCCGTACTTTTCAGTACTTTGCCACTACTTTGCCACTACTTTGCCGTACTTTGCCACTACTTTGCCGTACTTTGCCACTACTTTTCAGTACTTTGTTACTACTTTGCCGTACTTTGCCACTACTTTGCAGTACTTTGCAACTACTTTGCCGTACTTAGCCACTACTTTTCAGTACTTTGCCACTACTTTTCAGTACTTTGCCACTTCTTTGCCGTACTTTGCCACTACTTTGCCATTACTTTGCCACTACTTTGAAGTACTTTGCCACACTTTGCAACTAATTTGCTGTACTTTGCTACTATGTTGCCGTACTTTGATACTATTTTGCAATACTTTGCTGTACTTTGCCACTACTTTGCCGTACTTTGCCACTACTTTTCAGTACTTTGCCACTAATTTACAGTACTTTGCCACTACTTTGCAGTACATTGCCACTACTTTGCCGTACTTTGCCACTACTTTGCCGTACTTTGCCACTACCTTGCCGTACTTTGCCACTACTCTTCAGTACTTTGCCACTACTTTGCCGTACTTTGCCACTACTTTGCCGTACTTTGCCTCTACTTTGCCGTACTTTTCAGTTCTTTGCCACTACTTGGCAGCACTTTGCCACTACTTTGCCGTACTTTGCCGCTAGAGTGAAATATAAATGTGCTTCTGCATTCGCCATGAATTTCATAACT